TTCTGTTTTGTCTTTTGTTCCACCTTCGCCTCTGCCAGCACTGCTGCTCTTTTTGGGGGAATGTAGCATCCACTGTAGCTGGCCACACCAAGGCCCCTCTGGGACCCCCACCTGACCCTTCCTCCACGCATCCTGCAGCATGTAGCATGCTCATCTGGCCAGGGCCCCAGTGGAGGCATATGTCCCCGGGGAGCTGAGGGCTTTGAGGTGGCTTTCTCCCTAGGGCTCCGAGCAGAGCACAAAGTGGTCTTAGTTCCCAGGGACTCTGGCCGGACACCTTAGCGGGAAGTGCCAGGGCCTCCCCTAGTTTTTTGTTCACCCCTCCACCATCTCTTGCAGCCTCCTCACCTCTGACATGCCAAAGGAGCTTTCCCAGCAGGCTGAGGGGTTTGGCCTTGGAGGGGATGTCATCTGCCAAAGCAGTCAGTCCTCCCCAGGCCGTGAAGGTGGCCCTGTCCCCCTCCTGGCTCATCCCTGATCGGGCATGCCCCGGTAAGGAGGTGCTGCAGGAAGGGCTGTTTGCTGGAATGAGGGCCCAGGCTGACTTGTTCTGAGCCACTGCTGAGAAGTCTATCTGACGTTTGGGGATCAGCTGCATGAAGTTGTTCACTTGGGGCTCTATTTTTTGCCCATTCCTAGACCAGGATCCCTGTCTGGGAGCTCAGACTCAGTTGGGCTCCAGCCTCCTGGCTCCATGAGCAGCCCGGCTCTGGGCTCGAGTCTGCCACAGTCACCAGCTCTGCACAAGCAATACTTACCCCTCGCAGCCTCCCTACCTTCTTGAGCTCCACTGCTGCCCTCTGGAAAGCGGCCAGCTCTAGGCACCTCTCTTGCCTCTTCTTCCTCTTCTACCCTTGTCTGGTTGGAGCTTCTCATAGCCACTCAAACCCTGACTTGAGCTGACAGCTGGGCCCTGTTGGTGGGGACCAGTGCCTGGACTGGATCCCATGAGATGTCTGCTGGGAATCCTGAAGTCTGGCTTAGGAATGCCCAAATCACTCCCTTTCCCTCCTCAGCTCTAGGGTGTAAGGTGAGAGGTTGCCCAGGAGATGGACAAAGTAGCCCTTGGGTTCATGTCTGGTCGAGAGGAAAGAGTAGCAGGAGGGGTGAAGGAACGGGGAAGGATCTCTTTCTACCTCTTCCCCAGACATTGACCCAAGTACCTGAGGCAGGGAGAGCTACCCTGGGTAGCAGCAGAGAGGTCTTGGGGCCTGAGTGCTTGGACTTCATTTATAACCAAAGCTGGAGGGGCATGGAGGTGGCAGCTCCATGAAGACAGGCCCATCTGAGTCCAAAGGGCCTCTTTTTTGCTTTTGTTTTTTTTCCTCCTGGCAAGGATCTGCAATGGGCTGAAGCCAGAGTCCTGTAACATCCCTCCCAAGAAAACTAGGGGAGGAAGCCAGGACCTCATTGGTTCTGCCTGCAGATGAAAAGTGCATAAGGCCTGGAAGGAAATGAACAAAAGAAGCTCCTGGGCACCTGTCTCCCGCCTGAGCCTCCGTTCTTCTATTATGAGAGAAGAGAAGCATTGTATGCATGGGGGATGGTGAAGAGGCAGCTGGCCTGCCTGCAGATGAAAAGTGCATAAGGCCTGGAAGGAAATGAACAAAAGAAGCTCCTGGGCACCTGTCTCCCGCCTGAGCCTCAGTTCTTCTATTATGAGAGAAGAGAAGCATTGTATGCATGGGGGATGGTGAAGAGGCAGCTGGGTTGAGTTTTCTCTTTAGGCAGAAATGCTCTGCCCAGTCCCAGTGCTTGGACTGGGTAATACATGCCTCTCTCACTTTCCCAAAAGTGGGGCAAAGGGCTCTGCACTTTTTGACGCTAGTGGGGGAACAGGGAGGAAACTTGCTTGCAAAAGGGTATTTGTATCTCCTGTTTGTGATGTATTCACCTCTAGAACAGTCACTCTCAGGATGGTGTGAATATACCTTCCACCTTTGGGGTGGTGGGACTGTTCGTGATCCACTGGATATCATGGACATTTGCTGATGGAGCGCTGAGTGGTGGTCCCAGAGCATGCAGTCACCCCCAGGAAACGGGGCTATCAACACCCTCTTTCCTCTAGGGGTCCAGAAAGGGAGTAGGAGAAAGGAGGGAGCTGCTAGCAGAGAGGCTGTCACTGGGTAGCTCCAGACCACGGTGCCACTTGCCTCTGGGGGAGGGTTACTGCAGGGGAAGTTCTAGCCAGAGGAGGGGCCCGATGTGTTGGTAACTTGGGCTGAGCTGCCTACAATCCCTGGCTGTCAGAACTGCTCAGGAGTTGGGCTGCTCCACTGTTCCACCTCTCTAGCAGGAGGTAATCCCTTCTAAGCTGATGTTGGGGAATTATTCTTTTTAATCCTTTGCACCAAATAAGTTACTAATCTCCACCTGGGCTTTCCTCATGAGGGTAAATTTGTATGAGGCTGATGTGTACATGTGATGGGGAGTGGCTGGATTTAAGGGTCTGTTCCTCAGCAACCTCAATGCAGGGGCTTGTCAGAGAAGCCACTCTGGAGCTAGCCTGTCCCAGAGAGTAGGGTGCACAGTGTGACTCCTGGCCTTTGATGAGGTGGGGAAGGGAGGAACATGATCCCTCCAGAACTCTCCCTACCCTGGGGCCAACTCACTGCCAGGTTCAGTGTCCTGGCTCCAAATGTCCCCTCACTGCAGATGAAGCCCTGTGGTGGTTACAGGATGGGGCTCTTTGTCATTCCATCTCCTCTGGTCAGGCAGGATTTGCCTTGGATGTGGCAGAGACAGGAGTGGCCCTGCAGTGATGCTGGGCTGTGGGCAGGGACAGCAATGGATGATTCAGAGCATCTGTCTTCACATTTCTGCTCTGTTCAGTCTGTCCCACTTTCTTTATAGATTCCTTCCTTTGGTGTGAAGGAGGTTCCAATAAATGGGGCCAAGTCTTGGTTTGACAAGGGGGATTTGATTCTTCAGAGAAGAACCATCTCCAAAGCTACTCCCCATCCAGTCTCTTCTACCACCCAGTTCTACTAGGAAAAGGGCACTTAGGAGGCTTGGGATCCAGCAAGTCCCAGGCAATGCCAGCATTCATGGGGGTGGGCAGAATCTAGGCGCTCCAGAGCGAGGGCATCTGTGTTGCTCATCTCTCATGGAATCACTGCCAGTCAGAACACTGAGGTCAAGCCAGTTGTCCCAGGGGCATGACACCCACTAGGGGTGCATGCCTGATCCCTTCTTTACTGCCAGCCTTGAGGACAGCAGAAGCCTCCATTTTTAAAGACAATAGAGACCTCCAAGGGTACTTCTCTGGAAATAAAATGTAGCACAATCTTAGACTTTGTTACCAGGAGCCCTGACATGCAACCAGGGGCCTTGCTCCATGCCCTGCTACCCAGGAGATACTGAGCTCCTCTTCCCCTGGGGTTCCAGAGCTCCTAATACCTCATATTCCCCATCTTCCTTGGCCCAGAAAGCAGCAGGGCTTTAGTAAGGCTGCTCTTCTGTGTTTCTCTGATTGCTTCTAGCACTGTGCAAACTCTGCAAGAAATTGCTGCCTTTGCTTGGTGTTGTAGATGAGTTGCCCTCCACCTGGGTGGAGAGTGAGGGCGCATCGTTCAGGGCCGGAAGGTTGTCCGGCGGAATCTCTGCAGTGGCTGCGGGGAGATGGGAAAGAAGAGGCCCGCTTCCCTGCCGCCTCCTGCCTTCCTCTTCCTCTCCTCAGAGTTTTCTTCTCCAATATCCTGACATGTAAAAAAAATTCTTTAAAATGCTGCTTCCTCTCCTGGATTGTCTTTCACTGAAGGATCAGGGAGGAGATGAAAATGTAGACTGTCCCCTGCCTTCTCCCTCAAGTCTGCTTTTCACTCAGGTCAGAAGAGATTGGGGCAAAACAAAAATAATCATGATGGAAGAGCAGGGGAGCCCTGCACAGTCAGGTGGTGCCTGATGGGGGCTGGATTGGGCCGGCCTGGCTGGGAAAGGGTTGTTCTGAAAGAGTGCCTGAGCATCTCAGAGCAATGTCAGTGATGCCAAAGAGAGCAACTCGGCCTCCTTGCACACCAGCCCTGCCGGCTGAGCTGCACAAATGCGGCTCCGATGCTGGCATGCCCGACAGGGGGACCTTGTTCTCTGACAAAGGGCTTAATCTTTCCATGTAGCAAAGCAACTCCCCTCCTCCCCAACCCTGAGCTCGGGCTTTTGTGGGCCCAGCATGGCTGTGCCTGTGAGGGAAGCCACATCAGTGAGAGAAACTTGCATTCTCTCAGGGGTCTAGACTGGCTTGAGAAGCATGAATGTTACTGCTTTGGAAAAATCTTCCAAGGCTCTGGCTGGAAACTTAGCCAGTAAGGACAGGGCCTTGGGCTTCCCAAGTATGCAAGGGAGGGCCCCTGGGTCTGGGATCCAGACAGCTTGGTGAACAGAAATGAGGCCTGGGAATTCCAGAGATAAGCATCCACCCCATTAGCCAATGGCCTGAATGGGGACAACTGGCTACAGGGAATTAAAGGCTGTTATAGACAGTTTTGCTAGAAACTGTGACCTTGAGCAAGATTCCTCACTTTTCTGGGCCTCAGCTTCCTCATCTACAAAATCAGAGCATTAGCCAGTTGCTCCATGGTTCCCTTCAGGTTTCAGCAGTCTCTGATCTGGAGCTGATGTGGGTTGTGAGCCTGGTGCACCTGGCACCTGGTTCCGTAGGCTGGTTTCTTACAGCCCCTGATGCCCAGGCTTGATGCAGGTCCTCATCTGGTCCACGCCCAGATGCTGCTTCTGATGAGAACTCTGGGAATCCTAACAGACTCTGCTTTCACCTCTTCGTGGTTTGTTCTCCCTCTTTTATTCTTGTGTAATGATGAGAAATAATTAAGGATTGTCTACAATGGACAATTTCCAAGGTGCTGATGTGATGTCACAACCTCAGCTGCATCCTGAGTAGGTCAGCGTCCCCACCAGCAGGTGAGGCTGGGTCGTTCCTCATTTCTGCTTCTAGATGACATCGGTGGGAGAGCTGAAGATCTGAGAATTTTAAAGGAAACTCTCTTTGATGGGAGGAGAGAGGGAATTTATTTCTCTTCAAAGTATTTTGCTTCTTAAAACCACTCCTCCCTCTGGAATGTCTTTTGCCAGACATCATCTCAGAAGGCAGAGTAGCTGCTTCCTTGGGGAAAGTGGGCCTGAGAGTTCTACCAACTCCTTCAGCATGTAAATTCACAGAAGGCAAGAATCCCTTTTTTAGAATTTCCAAATGCATCCTGCAAAAGAGAGATAGCTGATAGGGACTGACAAGCACACTGTTTAGATAAGAAGCAATTAGCCTTTTTATATCTGTGCTCTATACATTTTCTATGTGCAGCATCTTTCTAAACTTGTGGTTCCTGGGTGGCAGGTGGACAGCTGGGAGGGACTGCCGGCTGTTTCGTACAACGTTCTTGCCAATTCCCTTGAGGAGAAAATTCTTCACATGGCTTCTGCATGTACAGTATTTGGGCAGCAAAAAATGATTAAAGTCAGTTTGAAAATGGTGTCATGTGTTGCTTTCTGTAGATGGTTCTTAATTCTAGGAGAGAGAAAACAGGGTTCCAGGTGACTAAAATGAGAAAGAGAATGATGCCTTTACTGGAAGGCAGGAGAGAGAAGCACATCTCAGAAAAAGGCATGAAAGATACGATCTGGGCCTCTGTCTCCTGTCTGGCGAACTCTGTTGCCACAGTAGTGTCTTTGGGCTGTGGAATCTGGCCCAGGCACTTTCCTGGCTCTGTCTCCCAAGGTCCCTGCTTACAAGCTCTCAAAGCCTTCTGTTCCCATGGACTCTATAGGGATGCCCCAAATGGAAGGGAAGGTAAGATGGAGCTAAGGCCACTGCTTCTCACCCACTGTTTATTTCTTTCTAAGCTCCTGGGTCCAGCAGCTCTGCTCAGCCACATGGCTGGATTAGTCCTGCTTATTTCAGCCACACCTGATACAGGCAGTTAAACATAGCAGTCGACTTCTAGTGCTGTGATTGACCCCTGGAGCGCCCCTTCCCCTCCCTGTCTTGTGGAGGGGCAGAAAGGTATGTTAACATTTAGTCACTTGTGGGCAGAGACATTGTCCTCCCAGGGCTGGGACTGGGGGTTACAGATGATGGATAAAGAAAGTAGCATTGTCATAGCATGTGCTTGCTAGGGAAAAGGCTGCCATCCTCCATCCCAACAGCCCTCCAGGGTGACCTCCACTGCCTTGGCTCTGGCCCTTGTTCTTGCAGTTCCCAGGAGCACCATTTCTTGAGGAAAGACTCATGAGACCAGTATATGAGCTCTGATTCTCTCCAGTATTCTTTTACTTCTTTTCCACTTCTGCTCTCTTCCTGAGATATCGTATATATATCTCTAGCATTGTCATAGCATGTGCTTGCTAGGGAAAAGGCTGCCATCCTCCATCCCAACAGCCCTCCAGGGTGACCTCCACTGCTTTGGCTCTGGCCCTTGTTCTTGCAGTTCCCAGGAGCACCATTTCTTGAGGAAAGACTCATGAGACCAGTATATGAGCTCTGATTCTCCCCAGTATTCTTTTACTTCTTTTCCACTTCTGCTCTCTTCCTGAGATATCGTATATATATCT